TCCCCAGCCTGTGGTCCTTTTCTTGTAGAATGTAGGGCACCCCCTCCCATGATCTTACCTCTTGGGATGTGCTCTGGGCTGTAAACAATGCCAAGTGAGGTAAAAAATTCTATACCAATTTCCCAGGCAAATTTCACTTGCTCCTCATTGAGTAGGAAGTTTCAAACTTCTGTTCAATCCCCTGTGCTAGGAGGCCACAGGAACAAGCGCTCTTTATGTTAACCTCTCCAAAGTCTTTACACAATGTCCAGATACGCACAACAACAGGGAGTCCAGCAGTCCCCATGTCCTCCACACCCACCTTTCACAGCCATCCCCATGCGCAGGCTTGTTGCCTTGTTGCCCAGTCTGCCCCCATGCCCTTCCCCCTGGATACTTTAAATTCTAGACACCATGATATTTCATACTTAAATTTTTCAGTACACCCTGCAAAAACTTCTACAGGAAAATTATAATGCCATTATCATACCTGATAAAATTATCAAGAATTCCTTAATGTCTCATAATATTAAGTCCATATTCAGACTTTCCCTCTTACAGTTGATTTCTTTAAATTGATAATCTTGTGAGGTTTAGTTGTTTTGCCCTGAAAGCTCTGAGTGGCAAACTCATTCACTGACTGTTCCAGACCCCTTACCTTGGAATCTCATCTTTTGGAAATTTTTTCTGAATTCCCTTTGCCAGGACATTACCTAGATATAAGCTGTACAGAGTTCCCATTTAAAACTCTGCTGAGTTAATGTTAAGAAAAATCCTCCCTTTCAGAATTATATTTACAAACTCTAAATCACTGACTGTATAAGAGCCGATGTGATTAACAAGCAAACAGCTGTTTCCTTTGCACATCCTGGTTTATGATAACTATGTTCTATTCCTAGAAACATGATGCAGTTGTCTTGGGTCCTTTTCTACAAGCTCACTATCTCCAAGGGGCCAGGAAATCCCCTTCCTATTTTCATACACAAGACAACATCTAAATTCTAATTGAATATCTTTTCTTTCCCCAAGATCGCTATAGAAGTTGCTTCTCATAAAAAATTCCTTATCTTTCTTACATACGCACATGAAAATGCTTATCATCTGTTATTATTAGAGAAATGCAAATCAAAACACAATGAGATATCCCCTTACACCTGCAAGAATGACTATTATCCAAAAGACAAGAAAAACAAATATTGGAGAGGATGTGGAGCAAAGGAAGCCTTCTATGCTGCTGGTAGGAATGTAAATTGGTACAGCCATTATTGAAGGTAATATGGAGATTTGCTAAAAAATGAAAAATAGAAATTATTTACTATCCTATTGTATCACTTTTGGGTATTTCCTGAAAAATACAAACCCACTAATTCAAGAGCTAGATGTCCCCTCATGATTTTCTTTAAGGAGTATTATTTACAATAACCAAAGATGGAAACAACCAAAGTGCCCATCAGCAGATGAATGGATAAACAATGGAATATTATTTAGCTAGAAAAAGATGAAATCCTGCCTTTTGCAACATGGATGGGCCTAGAGGGTAGTATGCTTTGTGATAAAGTCAGACAAAGACAGACCTCACATGATTGCACTCATATATGGACAGAAAACAAACAGGTGAACTTAATAAGACAAAATTAAAAACCTTTTGGACTATGAGGCCAATTAGCAGTTACCAGAAGGGAGAGGGGAGGGTGTGGGGGGGGATAAACCTGGACAAACAGATAATGGTATGGGGAAGGATAGAATTGGATGTTTAGCAGTGAACTTAAGGTAGCATATACACATGGTGGGTCTCAGTGATGCACACCTGAAATTTACATAATGTTATAATGAAGTTTTACTTCAAATAAAAAAATAGAAAATCATTGAATAAGAAAAAAATCCCATATCTGTGACTGGTCAGCCTGATGGTCCTCCTTTACCCCTCTGTGGTGGTTCCTGGTTTTCCATCTGGGAGAGCAAGTCAAGTTCCCAGCTGATTCATAAGTGGGAGCTATATCTGAAAGCCCTGCCTGGCTTAGTCTGCCTTTCCTGAGATACACACTTAACAGCAATTTAGGGTCCTCACCTGAAATGAGATGGCTATTTCTAGATACTTGATAGACCTGTAGTAAAACAGAAATGATAGCACACATGTAATACTCATATTATAGTTGACATAAAATGACAAGTCAGTGAATGATAGTGGTGATGATGATGACCTCAGTGATGTGGTGGTGATGATGACGATGATGGTTGTGACGTTGATGGGGGATGAGGATTCAATAATATTCATCCTCCTTCCTCACCCGCCCACCTAACTACCACCTTTGATCTCACAGGGGAGTCATTTGGCAAAGGTTGATATTATAATAGAAATATTTAATGCAAGCAGTTGAAAAGAATTCCTCTTAGGTAGAAATATCTATCTCTGGGAAAACAGCAAGCTCACTGAGGTATGTAAGCTCCTGAAGCCAGTTGTCTGCAAGTGTCAAGACATCATTGGGAAAGAAAACTCCTTTACGATGGACAAGGAAGAGGGATGTTTGATTTTCATCTTTTTAAAAGGAAGAAAGAAATGCAGTCATTATACTAACATACAAACATTTGAAAGTGTAATTATCCCATGTCCTTGGGTACAGAATTTACTTTCCTAATACAGGATCCACATCTTTACTAAGAAATATTTATTTCATCTAAGTTATATCTCAAATTATCTTGAAAAAAATTCTGGTTCTTATAATAAAGGGCAATTTTGAAGCAGCCACCTTATAAAATGTTTATAATAGAATAAGTGTACTATTCATAAAGAGAAGAGGCAAAGCTGTTCAATTTTGTTCATGCCCTGCACCCTGCTTCTGGCAGAGCTATCTGGGTGATGGCAGGTGTTACCTTGGGTGATCTCACTTTCTCACTTCATGCCTCTGCTTACAAATGTGTCACTGTTCACAGACAGGGATGACATCACTGCTAAGCCTTTCTAGAGATGAGTGCTGGCTCCATCTTCTAATCCTGGGACTTGCTGGGTGTTGTTCCAACTGCATACCTGGTCGCATGGTCAGCAGGTGTCTGAGACAGGAGAGGGTTAGACTGTTGAGGTGAGGAAGACTATTTCACGGGCTGGGCGCTCTTGCTCCTGTGCTCTCTCTCCTACAGAGTGAACTGAATTTCACTGTCCATACCTCAAAACACCAAAGTCACCTGTTTCCTTTGTCCCACATCTGTGCTTCCCAAATCTTCCTCAGGAAGTTTCCAGGAGTCTGTACACTCGCAGAGGTTGCCATTGCCTCTAGGCCTTCAGAAAAAAAAGGTACTGCTGGTTCTTATATTAGGAGAACTTGTGTGCTGGGGAATGTATGAGGCGGGAGATAGAAGCAGGCAAAAATGGAGAATATTTCACAGCAGCATTGCTAGCATTTATCGGGCACTTGCTTTGTGTGAGACACTGTCTCACGTCCTTACATCCCTTGTCTCATTTGTTCCTTATGGTGACATCGTAAGATACGCAGAAATGATGAGACAGCTGAGGTTGAGAGAGGGTCCATAACTTACTCAAGGCCATATTGTTAATTCTGAAGCAAATTTGTTTGATGCTAAAGCTGGTGTTTTATACTATTCTCCCTTTTTCTGGATTTGTGGGTACCATGGGCTATATCTCAATTTCTTATCACTTCTTTAAAATCCCAAGACTAGGGACAAAGAGGGTTTTCATACTCTCTTCATTTATAACATGGGCTCTTTTTCAATTTTGGAGACTCCAGGTCTCTGGTGCTATTACGGATGTTGGGGTTAGGACAAGCTTGGCCCAAGAAGCCTGCTTCTGCTCAGGGTCGGGCAGTTCTCCAATCTTTAGTCAGTTTTTCTCCAGGAGATCTCCTATGGGACCCGAAGGAAAATCTTCCCAAAGTGTTTTTATGGGGAGTGCCTGGATTCCTCAATGATACTAGTAGAGTAGCAAATAAAAATGTAGGATGCCCAGTTAAAGTTGAATTTCAGATCAACAATAGATAATTTTTAGTATAAGTATGCCTATGACATATTTGGGATACATCTACCCTAAAAAAATTTTGTTGTTTATCTGGACATCATATACATTATCTGGAAACTCTAGACCCAGGATCATCTTGGGCTGACCTGAGCAATTATGGGTCATGACAGGTGTCTAAAACCCAGTCTCTGAGCCAGGTCCGAGGCTGTCTCTGGGGCTGCCTAGACCTTCTCTGGTGGCTTGGGGACACTGGTGGCCTGAAAACAGATGCACAGGCTTGACAGTTGCTGTACAGACAGGATCCACACATGGACCCTTTGACAGGAGCCAGAGCCCTGGGTGCCAATTATCTCCTGGTACCTGGAGAATGCAGTAATTGAGGGATATGAGGGGAGCTTGAGGCAAAATTGAATGGCCAGAGATATAGTTTGCTAGGGCTGCCATGATAAACTATCACAGACTGGGTGGCTTAAATAACAGAAAAAATTTTCTCACAATTAATGGAGGCTCTAGTATTAAGGTGCCAAAGGTGTGATTTTTCTGCAACCTTTTTCACTGACTTATTATGGATGGCCGCCTCTTCCCTTCGCTTCACATAATCTCCCCTTTGTGTCTGTGTCCCAATTGGATCAGAGCCCTGCATGGTGAACTCCAAGAGCTGACTTTGCTTTTTTTGTAATGTAAATGCCTGACTTAACTTTGATACTGAGCTGCTTTAGGGATGACAATCTCAAACAAACACATTGCCAGCCACACAACTAGGTGAAGACCAGAATACCTTGCCCTGCGGAGACTCTTGTTTTAAAAAGATCCTGCTTGATTAATATATAACTACTCAGTTGGGACTGATTTCCCTTTTTCCTTTGTTTTTGGTCTCTTTTCCTGTGCTTTAAATGCCCTCTCTTATGATTTAATGTCACCAACAGTGAGTCCATGAAAACCTAGACACCCCACGCTCAATCCACCCAAAAAGGAGAACCCCAGATCTGTGCATACAAGTGAGCTCTGTCTCCTCCCACGACCTCACAATGGCCACGTGCGCTGTGTAATTTTCAGGTCTTGTAACAAACCTATTTTTTCAGTTTCCTGAACGATGCTGAGGAACATCTTGCAAATCATAATAAGAACCACAAAGGTCAGTCTAATCGTAATAATGGCATGAAGGGGAATATCTAGAGGAAAGTAACTCATGGGAGTGGAGGGCAGGGATGCCAAGGTGAGTGCCCTGGGCATTTCTTGTCATTAGCACTATTATCCACAGACAGACACTGACACCACTTAGTGGCCTCTTTAGACCCTAACTTCATCCTGGGATCCTAGGGGTTAGGAATTCAACAAAAGAATTTTGAGGGGAAGGTAAAATTCAGCCCATGACAACCAGAAAAACAATTCAGGATGGACGTGAATTGCTTCGTGCAGGGGAACCAGCCTGTTATGGTGCACAGGGGAACTTGTAAATATTCTCACAGGCCACTCAGGCTTGAGTTGTAGCTAAAGCTCAAATTTGGCAGAACGCCTTGTACTCCTGGAGCCGAGGGCACGGAAGAGCTGCAAGACCTTTTTCCACTTGCCTCCTATGTTCCCGGGAGGCTGTTGTGAGATAATTTCTCATCACCTTTCAGGTTCTGATGATGCTGGAGATTTTCTGCCTGGTCTTCTCCCCACTCAGGCCATGGTTGCAAGCTGTAAACTAGTGGCAGTATGTGTTAGCTCCTCAGCAATGGCTGTCCCACAATTTGTTTCAGTGTTGTCTGTGCACAGCTGCTTGGAACCTGGTATCTGAGCTGCTATCTTTGGCTTCTCTTTCTTTCACTATCTGTGTAAATAATAAACCGAGTCTGGGCCTATTGTTTCCTTACCAAGGGAGTCTGTCAGTCAGGCCTTACTTTGTGCTTGATTCATCTGTGCAGGAGGCAGGAAAAACTGACAGCCTGAATACAAGGAGGAGTCACCCATGGAAAGTTGTGGAAGGAGCAAATAAAACAGAAAGTAGTTCTTAAGAGGGAATGGCTCGTGGGGGTGGCGGTGAGGAGGTAAACAGAGTAGGTAAACAGAGGGATAACCTTTAAGGTGTGCTCAAGTGATGGGAAAAAAGTACTCCTGCCCAGATGATTGGAAAGATTAGAAGTTGCTAGAAATAAGGACTGGATGGTCCCTTCCTGTACCCCCTACCATTCCTTATTTTTGCAGCCAGGTGCTAGCCAAATATTAAGTGCAGACCCCTAACTATTTATTGCATACACATTGGAGAAAAGGTATACCAGGAAAAGAAACACTACATTGCAGGGTAAATAACTGAAAACTCAATATATCCTGGGGTTCAATATGTCCTCCTAATTTACAAGCTATATTATCTCAGGTAAATAATCTCTCATCTCTAGGCTTTCGTTTTCTTAGATGACTGGAAATACTACTTCACTTGGAAACCATGTCACATGAGTTGTTATGAGGATTGGGTAATAAAACTTACTCATTATTGGCAACTAAAACCAACAATTAAAGTGGTACCCCTCTCCCTGGTCTCAACTAAGGGTTGTAAGTTAAAGAGTCAAGGCATGGCTGGGCTGGCCTTGCAAAGAGGCTGCATCAGCAACAACAAAAGTTGTTTCTGAGCAAATTAGTAACTTCTGAAAAAAGATAGGCTTTGAGGTTTATGGCATTGCTAACATTTCCAGCGCCCAGAAGATAAGGCAAACTTTAACAATCTTTGCTGTTTTCCTCAATCTGTAGACACATCAAATAGATACATTAACTGGACACCTCCTGGGATTGTCTCTGTAAAAATCCTTGAAACTGTAAAAATGTTTCCTTGCAGACTGTATAAAATTTTCATTGTGAAACTCAGATTTTGGACAGCTTTCCCAGAGCTATCTGGAGGTGGTATCCCAGCCTGAGTCCTCAGTCTTGATTCTTCAATAAACTCACTTACCTTTGTTTGCTTCAATTTACATAAGTCAACATTATGCACTTACTATATGACCAGCATATGCTAAATGCTTCATATGTATTTAATTCCAACCACACCCCCAGAGGTAGGATTGTTATTATTTCAATTTTATAGATTAATAAACCAAGGGACTGACTGAGAAGTTAAGTAACTTGACCAGTGTCTAGTCAAAGCTAGTTAATATTGGAGTCAGGATTCAAACTCAGGCAGACTCACTCCTGAAAAATGTTAGGTAGAGAGAGCACTTAGCACACAATACCCATAATATCTGGTAGTTATTGTTATCTTTCTTGAATTTGAGAAAAATAACATGTTCACAAAAGTAAATAAACAGGAAAAAAAATTTTCTTTGTATTTACGTTTTTCAGATTTTCCACAAAAAAAATCTTCTGTTCGTGATCAGGAAAAAATTATTGGAAAAATCATAATCCTACAAGGAAGAGGCCATTGAGTGACAGTTGAAGAAAATTAAATTTTGAGATCTTTCCTAAAAGTCTGGTTGCCTGTTGGCTGAAAAATACAGAACACCTGAAATGAGTTAACAAAATATTAGAAGCCTCCAGGGCAACACACGCTTGGGAGTGAAATCCAAGCCTTGATCCAGGCCAGGTTATGCAACCCCCTCTGGGTAGAGACTGACTAGTAATAGCAAACGATGGAGTTGGATCTTGGGAATTTCCTAGATATTTTTTTTTGTTGTTGTTGTTGCCAGTCGGCGGTCTGCAAATCAAGCATTATAGAACTTGGCTGACTTTGTGGACTTAGGAATTATCTGGGATTTTGATTCTGGTCTCCTCTGTTGCTGAGAATCGGGGTGCACACTCGGGACCAGAGGGGTGTATAGGCTCCACTGGCCATTATGGGGTCACCTTTCTGGTCTCCTTGACAACCTCCGTTGGGGTTTCCCGGGTAACCTAAACCATGGGGAGGTCGCCAGGCGAATACCCGGGCGGGCTATAGGAAGGGACTTGTGGGCCCCTTTTGCATTCTTAGAGGCCGTCGGCGCACTGGCGGCCCCTCAGTTCCTAAGACTTGGGTCTTGGTCCCCAGCCTGGCCTGGCATGGCGGACGCGCTGCCCGGCGGCCCTCGGCGAGTGGGCGCGCAGCACGACCTGCTGGAGAAGGTGGCGCGTCTGAAGCGGTGTGGTTCGCAGCGTGGGCAGCAGGAGGCTGCCGGACGGCGTGTGGCCACCAGCGACCGCGGCTCCTGCTCGGGATGCTGGTGCTGGCGGCGGCTCTTCCGACGGATCGAGGCGCGAAGCCCACGCAGGAAGGCCAAATACGCGCGGCCCGGCAAGGCGGCCCAGGAGCAAGGCCTGTGGGACCACCCGAGCCTGCAGAAGCTGTTCCAGAGGCTGGCGATGTGGAGGCGGCGCTACCTGCGGTGCGGGGAGCAGCGGGAGAGGCTGGAGGAGATCCCGCTGCTGGTGCTGGACCGCGCGGAGCGTGGCGACTAGGCCAAGGGCCGCGCTGCAGACATAAGGCCAGGGCACAAGGCCCTGCCTGTCTGTTGATCCCCACGAGGAACCGATGTCCCACTCAGCTCCTCTGCACCCAGAGCACTGCAATGTTTATTTAACAAAGGCAAGAAATGAAAGTAAATAAAAAGGCTCTATGAATGAAAGAACATTGTGTGTGTGCATGTGGTAGGTGTGTGTGTGCTGTATGCATGTGTGTGCTGTATGCATTTGAAACCAAGAGGCTCTGTGTTCAGGTTTTTAGTGAAGAAAATGCTCTCTGCCCTCATGCACTTGGCCTTATGGCCACAGGGCCTCCAAGTGGTCACTAAAGCCAGGAAGGCAGTTGCTGGAAGGCCCCAAACTGTGGATTCTTGGGCACTTGCTGCCTGGCTGGGAAGGTATGAATAGATGGGCAAGGTTTGCGCATCTTAAACACAGTCGCAAAGAGGGTGGGTGGTAGTGTTTTCAATCTGTGCAATGCCTTTGGGAATTTAATTTTTTTAAAAAATTTATTTATACAAGAACCAGGATACAGGCCAGATGCATGGGAGGGATTCACCAGAGATAGAGCGGGGAACAAAGCAGGCACACTGACGAAATACACTGCTGAGGGGAGCAGCCGGTGCGACAGGAGAGGTCTGCCGCGCCATGTGGGACCCTTGCCGGCCGGCCGGGATCGAACTGGTGCTGCAGAGGCTGGGGAAAGCTTCACAGTGCTGCGCTCAACCACAGGGAACTTAAATTTTTTTAAGACAGGGTGCTGAGCTCTGAACGCTGTTATTTTTTGTTTACAGGCATTTATGAAACTGTGTAAGCCAACATTAAATACAGAGGTTGGAGTTGGGATGTGGGGAGTTTAAAAATTGGTGTTGGCGATAAAAGAGCAGAGGGAGAGGAATCCAGGAGGATCCTGGGTTGGTCTTTAACTTATTACTTTCCTCATCAATAAAAACCTGCTAATGATATTCTGGCTCTACAGGTGTGTGAGGATGAAAGTAAAATACTAGAAATGAAAGTGCTTAAAGTATGCTGAAAGAGCAATACACAGTCAAGGCATTTATTAAATTGTTATAATTGTCTCTCCTGGGGCTATTCCCAGAGCACTATCCCCACCTGCCTACTTTCCTCTTGCCCCACCCCACCAAAGCTGCCATTTTTTACTAGCAAGCTAAAAGCACTGAGTAATCGGCCTAGACTTCTCTGTCTTATGTTGCTGTTGCTGAAATGACCGGGGCATTCCTGATGCTGCCCAGGGAGGAGCTTCCCCTGGCCTTGGACCTAGAGAGTAAATATAGAGAAGCACAAGGTCTATTTTAGTTCATTGCAATGGTAAGGAACAGAATGACGGATCCTAGGATAGGAACCTAGGAAACTGACAGAAGCAGAAAAAAACAAGGCAGGGGTCAGAAAGCTGGGGCCAGTTCCCATTCTTATAAGGAAAGCAATCCTACTCAATATCACTAATGATTAGGGAAATAAATGCATATCAAAATCATACTGGATGCCACCTCACTCCCTTGAGAATGGCCTACCTCAAGAAGACCATAAACAGCAAGTGGTGGTGAGGGTGTGGTATTGATGGGAATGTAGACTAGTCCAGCCTCTACGGAAAACAGTATGGAAGTTTCTCAAGACCTTAAAAACAGACTTATCATATGATTCAGCAATGCCTCATCTAGGTATTACCCAAAACAACACAAACACTAATTCAAAGGGATATATGCACCCTCATGTTCACTGCAGCACTATTTACAGTAGTTAAGCTATGGAAACAACCTCAGTGCCCAATGATAGATGAGTGGATAAAGATATGGTCTATATACGTGGTGGAATACTACTCAGCTATAAACAAGATGAAATCTTGCCCATTTGGGACAACATGAATGGAACAGGATGAGATTATGTTAAATGAAATAAGTCAGAGAAAGACCAATATCAGATGATTTCACTCATGTGGAAATACAGAGAACAAAACAAGGAATAGGCCAAAATTAAACCAAAACAAATCCTTGAAATCTGACTATAGAATTGAGGCTGTCAGAGGCAGAGCAAAGTGGGGAGAGGGGTCAATGGACTTTTAAGGAGTGTTATTAGAGCTTTGGAAGTGGGAATGGTGTAGTAACATACATCTCAAAGTCTGTGAACCTGTATCTCTAAAACATATACAATGTTGTGAGCTAATATTACTGCAATAAATACAAATTAAAAAGTAAACTAATAAAAACACAGGTTACTCAAAAGATTTTTGAACACTTTTGTAAAGAAGCCTTTTCTATTAGGCAAATTCTTCCCTAATAGTTTAAAACGCATACCTTCATATACTAAATTCAAAAATAATTCTCTATTTTTGCAAAGGGGCTCACAATTTACAAATTTCTCTACTGTCTCATTTGGTCCTTATAAATACTCTGGGAATGAGCATTTTACACACAAGCTGGAGGAAGGTAAGTAATGGAGGCCTGGAAGCCCGATCTCTTGCCTCCAGTCCCGTCTTCCTATTTCCTCAGAATTACAGACTCCAGTCAGCAAAGGCTGGGTGAGGCTGCTTAACAGTCTTGTTCTTTGATTTAGGGCAGATCCAAGATACCAGAAATGGGTATCAAATTGGAAGCAGTAAGTGGGGATTTCATTAGGTCGGGAGTAATGGTTTATTGTATTATACCTTCAGTCAAAGCAGGGTTAATGAGAAGACCATTGCTGCAGAATACTGGAAAGGACAATCAGATCTATAAATGATTCCAGTTTTCTATTAGTCCTCATCTCTGTGTTCACTAGAAGGGGATTTGGGAGAAAGGGGTGGGAAGAGGTGTAGAGACAGGCAAGACCCATCCTCTCCCCTTGGAAAGAAGTTTGTTCCTGTAGGTGGGGATGCTTTTCTTTATGTTCAAAACAGAATCCTGTAGCAACTTGTGATGGAGGGTGAGGGTACATTCTTGTTTATATTATTTTATTTTTTTTTAATATAGCCAAAAGGGCAGGCTTATTATCAAAAGGGAGAGAAGAATAAAGGACACTTATATAGACACAAGCTGGCAGAAAGAGCTGTCCTCAGAAAGGACAGGTTTGTTAAAAAGTGAGGCCTGCAGTCACAGGCAGGCACAAGTTACTACCAGTCCTGTTTAGTTCTGGAGCTCTCTGCTTTGACAGAAATTCCGCTGGGCATGTTTTCCTTGGTAGTTGCACTTATCTCTGCTTGCTTGCTGTGTAGCGTTCATTCCTTACGCTGCTTCGTAAAAAGTATCCACACTTTCATTTGGGATTCCCTTTCCCTCCTGGTCTCAGCCACTGAATTTGTAAAATATTGACCTTACTCCCAGTGATGGGCTCTAATAGGCTTTACCAGTGGCTCTCAACCCAATCCTCTGCTTGTTCAGCTTGCTTACCCTGTCTGGCCTGTTTCTTGCTGGGACAACCACAGTGACATTCCTGCCATGCTTTCTCCCCTTGCTTATTCTGCCACCTGACACTGGTGCTTTCCCAAGTGGTCCTGCACCTCCTGTTTCTAGGGATCTATAAGTATAAAAATTTCTTCATGATAGTCATTTCTATGACTCCATGTCTTAACATATCTGGTTAAAATAAATCCTGGGTGCACTTTTAAACAGTGGCCAATTTAACATTTGAGTACTGTGTATTTCATGTACACCACACACATAGTGTGTCATGAATTTTAGTGCCTTGTCTCCCTGGTATATTATAGTATTTGGAGTTCAAGTGTCTCACAGAAGGCATCGTGAGTATATGGAGCTTCATGTGCCTCATGAAGGTTTGGTGCCTACTTGGTCTTTCCATCTGTCCTGTCTATGTTAGACATGTGCTTCTCTTATTTTACCTGTATATCATAAACTATTAGCTTCTTCATCTATTCTTAATAGGGAAATTTGTTTTTACCCTGTTTTTCTTCACCTCTATGGCAGAACTATGTATTTTCAATCATGATGCAGAACACACACTGATGAGTTGGAGCTGCCTCCCCAGCTTGTCCTGGTCAGATCCTGGCAGAAGTGAAATGGGTGTAGGGCCTCCCCTGTGGCGCAGCAGTTGAGCGCTGGGTTGCGAAGCTGCCCGCAGCCTCTGCAGCACCGGTTCGATCCCCGGCCGCCGGGCGAGGGTCCCACATGGCGCGCAGACCTCCCCAGCCGCCCGCTGCTCCCCTCAGCAGTGTACTTCATCAGTCTGCCTGTTCTGCTCCCTGCTCTGGCTCTGGTGAATTCTCTCACCCTCCCGCGCTTCTGACATACCCAGTGCTTGTATAAATAAATAAATCTTAAAAAAAAAAAAAAAGAAGTGAAATGGGTGCATAGGGGCAGGAGGAGGCCAGATACCAGGATAGGCTGGAATGGCCACCCACCTCCTCAGGCTCTCAACAAGAACCACTCAAAAGCCCCCAAAGGCTAAAAGGACAAAAGTCAAAACCAAGGGCTATAGCAGTACAATACCCATACAATAGGGGCCTATGGGTGATACTGATCAAAGGACAGTGCCTAATAAGAGGACAGGTCACTATCTGTGGGTTCTCACCCATGCAACAATTTCAAGAAACCTCAGGCTCCGGGAACAACCACCATGGGGTGTATTTTACAAACAGGGGAAACAAAGAGCTTACTGTATCCACAAGTGGCTACTATCTCACCCAGATAATGTCAGTGATGGTCGCCACCAGGAGTGCTGGACAGCACTGGCTGAGAGTGACGGTCACTACTGCTCCCCCAGAGGTGGAGTCAGAAACACCAAGTGTCAACAGCTCTCTGTGAGTTGTTGGATGACGCCAACAACAAACAGATCTTTGAGAGACCAGGCCTGGAGTCTTTGAGGCCCAGTCTCTGACAGAGGTCTTTTAAGGTCAGTTCCTGGATGCTTTTCTTCTTCTTTCAGCTTCTGGTCCTTTTTCTTTCTTCCTTCTCTGGGGGCTAAGAACAGTCTTCCCTTTCTTTCTTTGGTGGCCAGAACAGTCTGTCCTTTTTCAGCTCCCTTGACCCTGGCTTCTATCCTTTCAGGGTACCATTGGACCATTTTCTATACTGTGGCTGACTGGACAATTTAGCACCAATCAGCTAATAGGTCGAACCTGATTGGTTCACTCTAGATTGAGGACGTAAAAGGGCAGTTGCTGGGCTCTGAGGAGCAAATCCCACAACTCACTTGTGGTGGAGCAGCTGGGCGA